GGTGGCGAGGAAAGGCCGCCCTGGATAGCAAGAAGGCGAATGCTTTTGAAATGCTAATTTGTGCCCCGGTATCCTTGGTTTTTCTTTTCAAATTACAAGAAGGCTTATTTAATAGGTTTGGGCAAAAAAGACAAAGCAGGGGAGAAATATGGGGCTTTCTGGTCTGGCCCCCAAAGCAGGGAGGAGCCCGACAGAAAAGCCAAGGGAACGGCCTCCACCCCCCTCTTTCCCCCTGCTTAGTCCTCGCTTATTTTTTCCATGGTGACATCATCATCATCATCATCATCATCATCATCATCATCATCGATAATAATTAATAATAATTAATAATAATTAATAATAATTAATAATAATTAATAATATAATATTGCTGTATGGGGAATTTTTTTAAAAAAAAGAGACCATCTTGAAACCGGGTGACTGGAAAGGAGTACTGTACTGTACAATATTGTTTAAAAGATTTCCCACATATTGGGGCATAATAAAAGAAATGCCACAAAATAGGTTGGCTGGCCATTCTCTGCTGTTCGTTGTGTTTCCTTCCATTTTGCTACAGATATAATGCTGCATATGCTGCATTCAGTTAGCTGTGACAAGCGGTAGATGCGCACCACCTCCAGCTTGTAGGGAAATTAATTACAGGCTTGAATTTTGTGTACGCTTGGAAAGATTATTTCAGCCGTGCACTTGCTATCTGGAATATGCTCCACAGAACCTAACGGGACTTATTGCTGAGTAGGCATGAAAGGTTTGTGCTGTTAAACTGAATAAACTAAACATGATATTTTGGGGGAGGAGAAACAGGCTGTAAACATTATTCTGTTCATAGGCAGAATGTTTTCTTACTCTTTACAGTCATTTGGGAGAAACCTTTCTGATGGGAAAAAACAAAGCTTTTATACTCCAGAGAATATGGAGATGTGATATTCGTTATATGCAGCAAATACAACAGTCAGTCATTTGACTGAAATAAACAATGGTTACAGCTATATTGAAACTTATTTTCTGTATTGAAAATGATATTTTCATAAGGTAGCCCATATGAAATCCACAGCTGAGTACAGCATTACAGTATTATAGAATTTAACTGCAAAGGAACTGAAGTTTGGAAGAGCTAGTGACTTGGAATCCATGAAGTGGATTGGGGAGCCCTGGTAGATGGCAACAGATAAGACAAGTATAATTCAGTGTATAAAGTGCAGATTTCATTTATAAAGGTTCTAATTTTGTAAAACCTTTTGTTGTAATTTCCCACGTCAGCTTTGACCAATTCCCCCCCACAAAAAATGTATAATTACCATCAATAGTATTACCTTTCATGAAGAATCAGGATTGTGCTTCAGTCTGACTTTTGAGGTTTGCAGGTTCCGCCCTCCATCCTAATATGTCCTTCTTGGCATAACTTGGAGGGAGAAAAAGAAAGTATAAAATGATTGTTGTGGGTTTTTTCAGGCTCTTTGGCCGTGTTCTGAAGGTTGTTCTTCCTAACGTTTTGCCAGTCTCTGGATAGCAAACTGCAACAGAGCATGGACAGAGCTCCTATTCCAGTCCTCTGAAGATGCCGGCCACAGAGACTGGCGAAACGTCAGGAAGAACAACCTTCAGAACACGGCCAAAGAGCCCGAAAAACCCACCACAACCATCAGATCCTGGCCGTGAAAGCCTTCAAGAATACATCTAAAGTATAAAACCTACATACTGTTCATATCACGCCACTACTCCAAGTGATGAGAAGTTTTAGGGGCAATCACACTTAACTCTGGATTAGGAAGAAAGTCACTGAAGACTTATGTGCTACTTGTTCATCTCCTACCAGACATAGGACTTCCTCATTCTGAATCTTGATGTGACATCTCTACACTGTGTGCTGCATACAAATTTTCTCCTTCAAGTGCTTCCTTTACCTTAACATATCCGATGGGATCCACTGGTGTAAATACTTTGGCTGTCCCCACCAGCACTCACTGCCATTTGGACCCTGACAATGTTGCAGCTTCTTTGTCACATATTTTAAAGTATGCCAGTGTGTGACAATGTGGTTCCTGTCCCCCCCCACACACACTGTGCTCTCTGGAATTGCTTGGCCATGGCACAAAGAGTTGTCCACCAAGTGTCTGGTTGGCTTTCAGCCCATTGTGGTGCCTCTGTTGAGCCAGCTCAATTGCTTGCAAGGACAAGAGAAAATCTGTCTGATGTGGTAGTACCACCCGAGTCAAAAGGCCATGTAATAAAAGGTGCTGGGGTTTCTGATCAGTGCTGTAGGGGGCACCCAGGGTGGCTTGCTGAGAACACCCTGAGGTCTGGAGATGGAGCTGACTCCAGGGCTGCCAGCAGGAAGCAACACACCCTGCCCCCCAAATCAAGGGCACCCTTCTTCAGTTTATAGCCCCTGACCTGACCTGCTGTAATGATAATTGGACCCTTTTCTTTGTAGACCTTTGTAGAGCACAGCAGCAAGACCTCCAGCATTATATTTGCCTAAGACACATAAGCCTTCTGGATAGCCGCCTAGAGTGGTCATGTTACCAGATAGGCGGGAAATAAATAAATAAATAAATAAATAAATAAATAAATGAATGA